TGTTTGAAGGACAATTCCTACAATTCTTAAAGATCAAAGACAGCTCTTGAACAGCCATGGAGGCAGGGTTAATAATGAAGACGGGTGTTAAAGGAAGAGAGAGAGGCTAAATAAAACCCTCTGATATGACTGGGGTTGCACATGTGGAACATGTCAAAAAGTAGAGAGTGGTTTCACAGTAGAAGTAGCCGCTTGAAGACCACAGCCTGTTAAGACCAAATGTGGAGTGGTTTATTCCAGTTCTGTCACACGTTGCCAAAGAATAATGTTCCATACATAATAAATGAAGCCTCCTTTCTTCTGATTCTTTATTTTGTTTTTTTATGTTGAGACAAATTAATTCAACCTCTCGGGCTTGTTGTCTTAGACTAGAAACAGGGTGTAACCACTTGTCAGTTCTTTCAGATATGAGAGTTGCTTTGTATTGGATCGAGTGTCTAATGTTATACCTGCTGTTGAAAACAGAATAAAGAATTCTCATTGTGATGCATAACACAATTCAGGCAGACCAAACTGACATCCTTATGTTTTACAGCAAGCAGTGACTGTCAAAGCAATGACAACAAAACATAGATTTGTAGATGAAGAAGGGATCCAGGACTGAATGTCAAGGTGTACAAACTGAAAAACTTTAACCAGATCAGCTCTAAAAATCAACAAACGGCGGTGTGTTTTCCAAGCTTTGGCTGGTTTACAGAATAAATGGTAAAGCTTTTGAAGCCATCTGCAGACGACCAAGATTGCAACGATCACAGTCGAATATTTTGGGTAGTGTCCAGTCTGTTTCAGAAGAAAAAAACTGTGAAACAAGAATTGTTTGAGAAATTAAAGATGCTCAGGGTAAGCTCAGTCAAAGAACTGGCATCCGCTGCTTTTTTACACTGTGAAGCAGAATTTGTCTTGGCTTAATTTTGGGTCTTGGGTAATTTCTCCATTTTCTTTTGTCTGAAGCTAATTGATTATGTAATTCGTATAATTGTAGCTTAGCCTTTTTCTCTCGTCAGTCACACTGTTGCCCGCTAAACATATCATGAGTGTACTCCTCCACGTGCTGTCGACCTCTGTCTTTCTCTCATGACCCAGAAAACATTGCTCACATTGCTAATGTAAAGTGGCCCGGTGCTACAATGGCGGAGGAGGCAACAGTGGCTATTTTAAAGCCTCCCACAGATGAGGGGGATCATCTACACCTCTCTTTTGGATGTATGGAAAATGGATGGATGGAATGTGCTGCATGTTTGCATGTGCATGTGGGAGTGGGCTGACGACAGCATGCGTGTGTGGTCATCGCTCGGATAACTAGTAGAGGATGAGAGGAGGCAGGAGAGAGAGTGAAACTGTGAAAATGAAGGTCAGAAAGAAGAGGAAAAGAGCACATCTTTTCATGTCCTGGTGCGTACTGAAACAAATGGAGACCCCCACTACTACCACTGTACATGACATATGAAGCCTCAACAGATGTTGGCAAAGTGCTCCCAGAAAATTCTGGTAATTTGAGCAGATGAAGGAGCAAATGGACAGCATGTCTCATTCGACAAAATTCAGACTGGTAGCTCAAAGGGACTGCATGAGTTCATTTTCTGTTTCACTTAAATAATTTCCTCATGATGATGATCATGGTATTTGGCAGTCAGTGCTATGCTGCCACACAGGAGTTAAGGATGAAATAAATTAGATTACTACAAAGTCAGAAGCAGGACACTGTGGAACTGTTGGACATATGTCTCATATGATATGTTTTTTTTCTATTTTCTGAAGAATAATTGAACATGAATAATTTAAGATTTATACAAAATCTAGCAAGAAGATTTCTGGCATGCTATTCTGCTAAATAATTTCTGAAGCTGTAGATTTGTGAAATCTCCTCAGGAAATTAAGTTTAACTGAGCTTTTACAATAATACGAATGCCTCAAAACAAGAACTAGTTGTGTCAGCCTTTCAACTTCACTGCACACTAAATAAAACATTGCAGTGTATTAAGGAGCATTTAGGAATGAGTCACCAGCTGAGTCATACTTTTCTTGTCCTATGCTGAGGCGCAAATGTTGGTCACCTCGACACTTTTCTTCAACAAACTACCCGCCCAGTGCACCTTTTTACCCCGTATTTCCAAGTTACTTCTTTGTAAAGACCAAAATAAATACGACAGTAGCTACGTTTTCTTCCAGCAGATCTTTTCTCATGATACAAGTCCTTTCACACTATCGATGACCTTTACACTCACAATGTTGCTACTGTGACCCTTAGATTCCCAAAAAACGTAATGCAAAGGGTTGGTGTAGTATTTTTTGGCCTTAAAGTAATAGAAATACATACACAAGATGTTGTCATTTTCCCAATTTTCAAGACAGGATTGTGAATCCATCATGTCTTGGCTGTTTGGACAAACTTTTCAATCTCCACTTCCAGTGATACTGGGCTGTTTTAGCAGATGGCTGATTATAGGAGAGTTGGTCTGTGCAGATCTTTGGGGGTACACTCCTTGTGTTAGTATGTTTGGATAGAACAGTTAGGAAAAGATAGGCTGAGGGAAATAAGCAAGCTTGTGGCCACAATACATGTTCTGCCAAGCCGCAGATTGATTTAGGTTTATCAAGTTTTGGCCCATCGCGTCTCTGTGCAGGCCAGCAGCGTAAATAAAAGGCAAACCGCCCTCTCACGGTGCCCAGTTCTACAGTATGATTTGTCTCTGTTGTGCAGACTCTGAAAAAGCCCTCTTTTTTTTCTCTGCTCTCACATTCAATTTACAGCATTAAAATGTGTCCTGCATGAAGCACTCTCACTGGTCACTGGTGGGGTTAGAAGCTTCAGCAAAGTATTTGAAAAGCAGTACCACGCAACAAAATGAGGAGAAAATTATAGTGGTTTGGCTCTCTATATTTCAATTATGTGTGAAACTTATGACTGCGTCCATAAATACATAGTTTTATGTGTATTTATGGACACAGCTGTGGTTCCTAAACAAAAAATTAAGTTTAACAAGATAAAAAATAGTTATTATTTTTATTTTCGATGAAAACATAACTATTGAATTTAAAAAATGTTGACATGTATCTATCCAGAAGTATGAACACTTACTATTTCTCTTCCTCCTTTCTTTTACCGCATTTCAGCTATCTCATAAAGGCTACAACAATTTGCTACAACTGTTTTCTTTCCCCCATCCGCAACACCTCAAAATACCCACTTTCAAAAATAATTTAAAAAAACTATAATGATGAAGGGTGTAATTTATTTAGCATAAGTAAAAGTATCAGTCTGTGATAGACTACCAAACTATCCAGAGTGTAGTCAGCCTCTCACGCAAGGACAGCTGTGTTTGGCTTTACTCCAGCCTCTCAGTGCCTCTAATTCTAAGTGGATATAGAACATGAATGAAAGGATAGCCTTTTTTTATTCATAAGCTAGGATTTATAACAATTATTCAAGATATTAGAGCTTGATGCAGGTGAAACCCACAAAAAACATATTTTAAAGTAATTGAACCTTGTGTGATAAAAGAATAGGCATATTTGACTTTGATTTATTTTTTTTCTGTGAAAATGCATAGTATTTTCTACTGGCCCAGAATAATATGGCTGTGGTGTTGATTACTAAAGCCCACAGACTTTTCTATTTTTTGTGTACTAGATTCAACAGAATAAAATGAAACAATCGTTTATGTGGAAAACTGCTTTTGAAACCCTTGTCTGAATTTGCGCTGTAATTATCTTAACAGACCATTATCGAGTGATTTGGGACATGGTTGGCTTCATTCAGCTGTACCAGTCTTCCTGCCTGGGCCATTCTAATGTGATGGTTGTCAACAGTAAAGAGACTTATTCAATCTGCAACATATCTTTGTCCTTGATCTTTTTTAACCCTTGCAACTATGCAGTCTTCCAAACAGCCTTGCATATCCTGTTGACCCAGTTCACAGTTCACTATTGCTATTGTATTTCAATGTTGTGGTCTGATAGATATGTTCGCCAGCTGAAGGTTAAAAACACTTCAAGTATTTGTGTATTTCATCCTTTGTGAACAAAATTTGAAACAGTGTCCCTTTTAGTCTTGAAAAGAAAAATCAGTCTTATGGCAATTCATGTTCAAAGCAAGTTTAAAATAAGTATAACATAATACAAATGGCTGAAGCATAATGTTTTTTTTGCTTTGTATAATGATGCATCCTGAAAGATTCTAGCATAAAGAGAGATATTTCTTTGGATTTGTGCTTCAACAAAAATGAAATAGCTATGTAATAATTATGGGACAGTATTTCATTATTATTATTACTTTAAATTATTGAATTACTGCAAGAAATATTACAAGCTTGTTTTGTTTTTTAATCAGTGGCGGAAATGGGCTTCTATTAATTTTTTATTTAATAACAATCATATTATCAAATCATTTACGGTTTGATTTTTTTCAAATGGAAACCCAGTGGTTTTAAAAGAGACCTCAAAGTGACAGAAACATGGAGAGAGAAACATGCTGCATAGAAAGCTAACATTTTCAGCTGCTCATTACAAGACTATAGCCCAAATCACAAGCAATGGACAAAATATAGAATAAGAGCTATTTTGGTATTTTTTTCTTCCTAACTGTTTTTTCCCTGCAGCACATCCACAATTTTTCATTCCTTCAACAACGGACAGGCAGTGGACAATTTTTGCCATTGCTGGTGTTTTCCCATCACTGATGTATTCTTTCAGCGCCGCGCACTATTTAGCAAAGTATCCTTCATTCTGCCTGTGCGGAGTAATCCACGTGTGTGAGCAGGCTCCGCTTGTCAGTCAGACTTTGAACTGAGCACTGGCGCTCATCACTGCTTATCTCTGACCGCTGCTTGTCTTCAAAGACGCTGCCACCGATACCCATCGCCGACGAGTTTTTAGATATATAGAATAGGATGAACAGTTTTTAAAGAAAGTCAGCAAACCCGAGAGGAAATACTGTAGGGATCGAAAGGAGATTAAACGTTGGCTACGCCGCCTAACGTTCGCGGTACTCGGGAGTTGAGATGGTCCAGTCAAGGGATATTTTTTTAGCCTTACTTTTTGTGGGCTTTTCAGGTAAGACATTTTTTCACTTGGTCGAATTCTTCGATATCTCTGCCGGGCACAGTTGTGTTTTTGTTTTGATGTGAACATCCCATCTGTTTCCAGCCTCGTAATTGTGGTCAGGACCGCAGGCACTCACTTGCCTCCTCCGCCCTCAGGCACTCTTTTATTTAGCAGGTGCGACGGTGACGTTACGGCAACCGCCGCTAATTAGCTTAGAGGCGAGCTGTTTGTCAAGTAAAGACAGCTTGCCTGCTAATGTGTTATGGTGCCATTTTTTTTTATGGACACACACACACACACATATATATACACTCGGGGAGCGTCAAGACGATGCTCTTTGCGTGACCAGCCTGTACGCTGACTTGGCATTATCGTACATTAAATGGGATATAATAATGCGGAGGTACAGGTTTTAAATGGGTATACGTTGAAACGTTGACGGTGTTTATGAGAATGTGGAAGGGGGGGGGGGGGTCGCCTGTTTGTGTGTATGCAGTCGTGTCGACGTGGGCCAGTGGTCTCTGCTTGGACGGGACGTGCCTGTTGTTGATGGGGAGTGATGCTGGACTCCCTGTCTTTTGTAAAAGACACACAATAACACACTTAATCTCTCGGTGTGTTTCGCCGTCATTTCAAAGGCGAGCCGTCCAGAACACAAACGTAAAGCCCTGTCCGCATAAATCCCCCCCCACTGTGGGCACGGGTGGCACCGAGGAGGTGTTGTTTACACTGGACACGGACAATATCGAGAAAAATGTGGTGGGTTATTTGGACTCTCCGACACACTCATACTCAGCGAGCACAACTTCTACTCTGAGTCATCTCTTATGTAATTTGATGCCACGATTCGGGCTTTAAAACTAGAACCCCCCTAAGTTGTTAAATGTGCCGTTACGTAAGTCTAATCGAGGGAGTTTGGTGTGAAATTACATTTTAATAACATTTTCACGCCTATCGTCGATTAACGTCAGTAATTTGACGAGTGGGGTGCTGATGAGTGCGGAGGTGCTCGTAGCCACACGAGGCTCAGGATTTTCCAAAGGGATAGCCTTTTAATCCTTCATGTACAATCCGATGTGCAGGGGTGTTCCTCGGGCGAGAGAGGAAAACGCAGTGGGAGTGGATCCTTCTCTGCATTGTGATGGTAATACAGTCATCCTTGCCTTTCCTCCCCAAGAAAATATCACATCAAAGTCTCATTTTGCCTTTACCTCTTTTGGCACAATGAATTGTGCCCATGCTCAAATGGCTCTGACACTTGTGTTGCTCTTTTCAAAATGCACCTATCTCCAATTCCACTTGTACACACCCCTGAGATACAGCTTAGTTTGCCAAATGTTTCCGATGAACAGCTTAATAAAAGCCTATTTACACAGGTGTCAAGATGACACCTAGAGAACAAACCTCAAACAATAGTTACTAATACAGCATTGTTCGGATTTTCATGAAAATCATGTCAGAATGATCTTAAGCTATTAGAAATGTGTTGTGCTGCTTTTAAATATTCTATTATATAGACCGCAAATAATAAATTTGATGATGATCCTCACATTTATTCAATTTTTAATTTATATCGACTGAGATTATTATATTTTCTGTATAACATAAGTACGTTTAGGTTATAACTGGGTAAGTATTGGTTTAAGATGGGGTGGGCAAGTTGGTTTTGATCCAGTTAAACACTGTGTAAGTGAATTTCCTTGCGATATATATATATTTTTTTAAAGATTTATGAAAAATCTTTCAAAACATGGATTAGTTTATGGTGCTAAACCAAAATCATAGTCAAGGAATGTCCAAAGGAACCTACAGTTGGTACGAATTGGTCTATGAGAAACTCATCAGCTTTATCAGGAAGCTTCTATTTTTTTGGCTTTTTACTATAAATCTTTTATTTTTATTTTTATTTTTTAACAGAACTTGTGTGAAGTCTTGCAAGCTTAAAGTTTTCATCACATAAAGTTTTGCAGAATTTGTAATGTGGTACCCAAATGGGAAGAATAGTGATTTTTATGGCATTTTTAAACTTTAAGCAGACCGAGCATTAATTAGTCCTGTAATTAATCCCCCTTCACCTGATAACTATTGAACAGAAACATTTCCAAACTGAACTTTGCATGACTAGAGACCCCAGTCTAATAGTTGTCACCCTTTGAGGGGGATGAATAAATGAAAGCCAAGCGTCACGTCATGCAGCATTTCCAAACAGGAAAATGCAGCTTTGTGCTTTACAGAAGGGTTGTTTTACTTAGTCTGTGTTGCATCATCAGTCATGTGGAAATCATGACGTAGCTTCATAGTGCTCCATTTACGAAGCAAGATGGAAGCGCGGCTGACTGCGGGCTGACTCGTAGAGGCTCCAGGCTTCTTTCTGACTGGCTTCACTTTGCAGGGATGGATATCAGCGCTTTCAAATGTGAATGTAGCAAGTCCAGCAGCTCCAACTTGACAAAGGGATTATTTCAGAGAAGCGTGCTCTTGATAGATAGAATTTTCCTTGTTGATCCTTAAGTGTTATTTCCTTTCAATCCCACAATTAAATGGTTTTAACCCCAGTAGATAACCCAGCTAAGTGTAAAGGTTCTGAGTTCTACAGACCCAAAGTGTCCAGCTCAACATGGGTGCACCCTGCAGAGGAAGAGAGGAAGCTAGCCCTTATTTCACTTTCAGTTTAGAGTTTCTTGTTAGAAACGTAATTTAAACATTTTTATTAACCTAAAATTGCCAGATTTTTTACAATTTTTTCTGAACAGATGACCTTAATGTTTACCAGATTGTCAACCTCCAATTTGATTTATATTCATTTCTCTCAGAATTTTTACATCTGTCTTTAATACAGTGGTGGCGTGTTTTATTAGACCCTTAATTCAGTGTCTTATCAAATTAATTCTAGATAACCAGCATGTTTGAGTGGCAGCCAGGTGACATGTAACTGCAGAACAGTTTCAACACAGATGTTACTGTAATTTGTAGCTGCAGTCTTTGTTAAACCAAGCTGCCCTCGGGCTTCTCCTGTCTAAGACCACTCTGCCCTTAAACAGTGCAGTCATACAAAGGCTATTTGTAAGATGCAGCCAATGAGGGAAAATCCTTTCACCTCCTTTAACCCTTGTTTTTTTTATCATGTCACAAAAATAAAGCTGACATCATCAGAATATCCACTGAGCATCTGCTGCTGAGTTGATGTATTTCTATCAGACTGTAACTGATGATGACAATGTACATCAAGGGAGGCAACTGACACCCATTTACATTTCTGATTCTCAAGTATTTTCCCTATTCAATGACAAAATCTTAAAAAAAACTAGTGTACACTAGTTTTTGTACTAGTGCCAGCTGAATCCAAAATGACTGTGGATGAGAGACAGTGCTCATATCTCCATTGTTGACAGTCTTTTATCACATTTTAAGGTTCTGTCCAGAATTTGGAAGAGACAAGAGGGGGGGCTGAGATTTTGTTCCAGCTACAACTACTGTGATGGGTACTGGAACAGACAGATCCAGGTCTGAGAGGGTTCAGAGGAGATTCATTGCCTAAGGATGCCAAATGGATGACATTACATGTGCACGTGACCTGTGTGGTACAGCAGGCAGAACATCAACATCTTTTTCCTCGGGTTTGCTGACAGAGGAGGCAAGAGCTCTGGGATTAGTTGTTTTTCAGTGATTAGCCTCTGCAGTGGTCACATTGGGTTATCATGTTAATGTTAATGAGATCAAATTTAAGGGTATAAAACAGTTTAGACTAAAACAGGTAACAGAGAAAAGTGTGGTTTGTTTCTTTGTACCGTTTTTCCATCAGACTTTCCATTCATACTTACTTCAAACTAAACTTGCTCCTCTCTAAACTGACAACCTGATCAGATCGTATCACATGCCAAGAAACTGGAGCAACGTGTCCTTGTCATTCATCAAATGAAGGAAAAAAGAGACCAGCTCTGTGAATACCAGGTTCCCTTTGGACATGTAACTTGAGACTGGCAAACTTTTTAGGCTTTGTGTAGCTTCCCTCCACTTTGAAGCTTTATGTGACAAAAGGGCTGAAGGAGTGTTGCAGACTGCCAAGGCTTTCCCAAACTCTATTTATCTCAGCCTCTGATTCCACCAGCCTCTGTTCAAGCACAGCTCTGATATCATTCAGGTGCTTTTGAGTTTAAAGATAACTTTTCCTGGCCCTGCCATGGACCGGCAGACCGTCCTGGGTGTGCCCCCCCCCCCCGCCCATTGACCACCGGGATAGGCACCAGTTCCCCCCACTACCGCATTAAGGAATAAGTGGTTACAATGATGGATGGATGGATAACTTTTTCTCTGGCTTAATGTTGTTCTACAGTTTACAAAAGGTGTTTAGTAAAGTAATGGTTCGTGCAGCGTCTGTGATCTATATTTGGCTGGTGAGGCAAATCAGCCCATTTCTCAGATATGATCTTAGGGATAGAGAGTTATCTCTATCAGAGTCTGCTGTGAAGCAGTGTGCCCTACATCAGTGCCCAATGTCCATGTCACAAAGCTCATGCCCTGATCAAATATGAGGCATATAGAATCTAATATTTTTTAGACAGGCTTGCTCATAATTCTAACACAGCTACAGCTGTTCTCTCATTTGAAATGCTCTGCTGGTCCATGCAAAATGCTAGCCCTGCAATGCCATCTCTTTTCTGTGCTTCAATTCAGTAAAAGGGACAGTTTTCAATCTGTTAGTCATCTACATAAAACAAAAGTTACCTTTCAGCTTAATCTGCGTGAGTTGCTGTTATAGCCATGTTATAGTCAGGCTTCCGTATAGTGGAGCACATCCGTTCAGCCATTCAGTGCACTGAAGAGTCCCTCACAAGAAGCCATAAATTAATCCAGCCAAAGGTTAAGATTCTTTATTTTGCTATTTGGACTTCATGGCATGATCTGTCTGGATAAAATCTGAATCTGAGACTAAGCCGTGGAACCAATGTATCCTGGTTTTCTTCCCTGCTTCTGTTTGTCAGTTCCTCAATGTAAACGCTTAGTGCACT